AGCCGGACCGGGCAGCGCAGCTCGGCGTACCGGTCCTGGATCTCGTCGGTGTAGCGATCGCTCATCTGCGCGATCTGTCGGTAGAACGCCGGCTGGCCGGTCTCGCCCAGCCACGGCTCGACGTAGGCCCGCAGCACCGGCTCGGCGAGCGTGCCGTGCGCGGCGCCCGCGACGTAGGTCCGGACCACGGCCTCGTGGACGTAGGGCGGCAGCTCGGCGTACGCGTCGGCGTGGCGGCGGGCGGCCTGGACCAGTGCCGAGCCGTGCGGGCTCAGCGCGACCGGGTCGACGAGGGTCAGCGACCCGTAGTCCCGCCCGTCGAGCAGGTGGGCGCGCAGGGCCGTCGTCCCGCCGAAGTCGTGCGCCACGACGTCGGGCGCGGCGGGGCACCAGCCGTCGAGGCGTGCCCAGTGGTCGAGCAGGGCCCCGAGGACCCGGTGCTGCACCCCGAGCGACACGTCCTGTCCCGCGCGCTTCTCGGAGCGGCCGTAGCCGAGCAGGTCGAACCAGTACACCCGCCGGTGGCGGGCGAGGTGCGGGGTGATGCGCCGCCACACCACCGAGGAGAACGGGGTCCCGTGCACGAGCACCAGGGGCGCGCCGCTCCCGGTCGCCCCCCAGCGCACCTCCTGCCCCTCGAACGGGAACCGCTCGGGCACCGACCACTCCGCCTCACCCACGACTAACCTCTTTCATGAGATTTGTGGTTAGAATCGGGTCCTGGCGCGGCCGTGTCAACCCGGAGGGCAGAGCCGATGGCGGTCACGACCTGGAGCGACGCGTCGTTCGTCGGCGGGCACCCCGCGCTCGACTTCGTCAACACCGCGGGTGGGCGCACCCGGGCCCGCGACGTCGAGCGGCTCGTCGGCTGGCCCGACGTCCTCGCCTGGTGCGAGCACGCCGGCATGCTGACCGCGGGTGAGGCCGACCGGCTGCAGGTCCGTGGTGACGCGGACCCCGAGGCGGCACGGCGCGCGGTCGCCGACCTGTGGGTCCAGCGCGAGGCGCTGCACGCGTTCCTGCTCGCAGGGGTCGACGGCACGGCGTGCACGGTCGCCGACCGTGCCCGCGTGCAGGCCGACGTCGTCACGGCGCACCGGGAGGCGGTGCCGTCGACCGGGTTCACGGCGGGGCCGGCGTGGGTCGTGGACGTCGACGACGCCGGGCCCGCCGCGGTGGGGCGGCGGCTGGGCCTGCACACGGCCGCGCTGCTGGCCGACGAGCGTCGTGGCCAGGTGCGCCTCTGTGGCCGCTGCAGCTGGTTCTTCCTCGACCCCTCGCCGACCCGCCGCCGCCGGTGGTGCTCGATGGCGACCTGCGGGAACCGG